AACCCATGTTAATACTGGTCTCTCTGAGGGATTTAAACGGTAGGCAAGTAAAGTTTATTTTTTTTTTTTAGACTACATCAAACCCAAATTCGCAAATGAAGACAAAACTTCACCACATGCATCACCGTTCAGTTTTGAGCAGGGCATTATAGATAGGGAAGGTATAAGCTAAGTGTTAGCCCCAAGAAAAAGTGGATCTCAATCACCCCAGAATTAACTCTGTGCCTGAGCCACAGGCTGAGGTAATAAAACAGTCTACTTGTGAAGTAGAGTTGTACTTCTTTGGACAGGTAAGGAAGGAAAACCTTTGGATTTTTTGGCTTTGAGATAAGCTGTGAGACTTGGGCTATCAATATGATTGATCATAACAAAAAGGACACTCAGTTGTTTCCCTTAACTATTTTTCTTGTATTTTTACAGAATCCTGGGAGTATTTATTTTTTCAAAATTGCTTCATTAATTTTAAGCAAACTAGTTTTCTATAGATTTTTTTTTCTACTTTTTGTTTGTTTGTTTTTATTAGCTAGAAAATTCCCTTATCTGTCAGTCAGCCTTTACACATGAGAACATTTTTAATGCCCTTTTGTTCTAGGAAAGACAGTGCAGGCCTAGGATTTTTTTCTCTTTTTACTCTGTGTTTAGAGACTCTTTCAGACGAGAGGGAAACAAAAGATTTTGAGGCATCCAGTAATGTTGCAGATACTAATCAAAGACTTAGATTTTGGTATTTTTCTGATATTAAGTTATTCATTTTCACATTGTAATCTGGAGGTTAGAAGTTCTGTTTTGGTCTTGGAGCCGATAAAAATAAACAACTTCATGTTTATTTTGCTTTTGTTTGCCTCTAGTTCTACTTCTACCTAATTCTTCAGTGATAATTATGTTACTAATTGTTACAACTGAAACATTGACAACAGTGCTCAGTTCCAACTTGAGCAAAGTATCCAAAATGGACAGTCTACAGCAGTAAAGCAGAAGGAATAAGATGTCTTTGAAGTATCTTCTTACGGCCATGATTTTTCTTCCTGTGTCTTTCATATCTACCTTACATGGTAGACATGAAATTAATTTGCTTGTAGGAGAGGGATAACTGACAGGAGCCACAGACAGAGACCTCATGTACATGATTGTATCTTTTGAGCTAATGAACTTGAGCTTTGACCTCCTTCGTGAGCAAATGCTACAAATATGTCTAAAGTTGTGTCCTATTCTGGTACTGACCATTGCCTTTTCCTTCACTTCCTGTTCTTGGTGTGGGAAATCATTTGACTGATCTTCTGATGGTCTTTCAGAGGGATGAGAAATCAAATAATATTACAAAATAACAAGCTTTTAGGCACAGAAAATCAGTCTGCAGCATTACTGATTCAACTGGTGTGAAGCTTCTAGTGTTTTAACTGAGTGGCTGCGGGAAACTAAGTGGCAGTGGCTGTTTCTGGCCTTTTAGATGAATGTAACATTGAAGATGCTTCTGGTCAGTAATGAAACCTGTCCTATGGCTTGGAACCAGACAACCTGGCATGCACTTTCTGGCCTCTGGTCCTGAACTTTGGCACTGTACCTAGAAGTCAAAGATTCAAACCTTGCAAGCATGCAAGCCACTGGAATGAATTTCTAGTTTAAAATGTCTATGGTTATAGACCTGCTGAAAAGATGCATGAGAAGGAGTTGGCAAAAAGCTAGCAGAGAACAGTCAGGGTCCGTAGGAGAAAGGTGGTTAATCCAAGGAGGGGGAATTATTCTGTCAATTTTTTCTTGGCTAGTGAAATCCAATGAAATACGCGAAGTCAAAGAGCAGTGTTTTGGGAGCCTAGCTTTTTAAAACATTTGCTTAGAGCAATGGAAATACATTAGCCAGTGTTGGGACTCCAATTCGTATGGCTGTGTCTTGCTTATGTTGATTTCTTTTATTTTTAGTACGTGACATTTCAGGAAGGGGCTGGCACCTCATAGCCTAGGACATGTCCAAACTTTTGGGTCCTGGGTTTTGGCACACTGGTGAGGATGAATCTTGTCTGTGCCTGTTACCACCCCTTCTACGCTCAGGTCTGAATGGTGTCCTCACTTACCTGTTGTCCTTCTCGATCAGCAGGACTGTGATTCTGGGTCCTCCCAAACATCTTTGGCCTTGAACTCACTTGTTCAGGGCAGAAGGGAGTGCTGCTGTATGAGATAGGAGGTAATGTAAGCATTCATTTATTGGGATATTTAATAACTTTCTGGTTATTACGTGCATACACCAACTTTAAAGCGGTGCAGGTGACTTTAATCCAAAGAAAAGCAACTACAGCAGGAAGTAGATTGCAAACAGGGGAGTTGAGGAAGGCTCCCTTTATTTAAGGCCAAAACCTGTGTGGGGAGGTGCCCGTGGCTGCCCATGCTGAGGTGCTAAGTGCTTACAGGTGCAATATGTTAGCCATCAGTGGTGGCTGCCAGAAACTACACTGGACCAAATTCCCTCTATGACCAATCATGGGAGATAAATGAGGCAATTTTGCTGTAATTGTAGGGTCAGACTTGAAGATCACCTAGATATGGACCCAGAACAGACAGAATACTTTTTGTTTTTAATAAAAGTGGTATTATGGAGGGCAGAGAGAGATTGTCTAATGATAATGAATTCATGAAACTGTATATTATCATAAGTGGGTAGAAGCAAAAGTCAGAATTTAATATGCTGAAATGAGAAGGACCAAGTGATGACTAATCTTACAATTATAAGGCATGGCATATGAAGCTGCCAGTTGGATGACATAGATTTTTAATAAGTACATCAAGTTGCAACTTGTAGTGTCTAAGTGAAGAATAGAAAAGTGCCATATTAGTTTGAATACAAGTGGTCTTAAATATTTCCTGAGGAAATTGTTGCACGCGCTTTTCTGTCTTTATCTCTTCCATAGTGTATGTCTATATCTTGCCTTATGGCCCCTTACCCTCCCCCTCCAACCCAGGTGCAAACCACCCCTTTTATCAGATAGCCAGCTGTGCTGCTCTCGGGCACTTAAACCTTTTGATCAGAGCTCTGAAGCTCTCCCTGGGTTTAACGAGCGTTGCCTGGGAGGAAAGCAATGGTGGAGAAGGAGTTGTGGCCTTCTGATGCAGGGGCAGTTTTCCTGTGACTGGAGAGCAAAAGGACTTTTCTCTATGGGGTCCTTCTCCCACCCACACCTTCCTTGAGCATCCCGGTTCAGCAGGGATGCAGTCGTGTTTACATTTGCTCGCCAAAAGGTGCTGTAAGCCCTTCAAAGGCTTCAAAGCCCTGGGAGCGTGATCCGTGAAGGAGGGTGAGTTGGACTCTCAGATACTGGGGTTGGGAAGGCGGGGGGAGATGAGGCAACAGCCTTTTGTGTGTTTGGGGCTAATAATGCCCTGAAGAAAGGGAGGACTGAGTATAAGAAAAATTGCAGATCAGCTAATCACAGTGCTTTATTGGACGTTACAACAAAAGCTGATAGAAAGGATAATGCAAGATATGAAGGGGGTAAATGGTTAATGGGATAATTTGCACCATGAGTTCGCTAAAACCCGATTGTACTTGAATAACTTACTGACCTCTTCTCACATTCTATCTGATGCCTTCCTATTTCCTATCAGGGCTCTGAGCATGCATTTTCTGTAGTGCCTCTTGGGAAATGTTTAGTTAAGCTGGAGAAGATGAGTATTCTTGCAGGAGTGTAGGTGGGCAAGGACCTGGGCAAAGAGGCATTGTCAGTTTGTCGTTTTGAAAATCAAATTAACAGAAAGGAAGGATGCTACTAATAAAGTCCCACAAGGAGAACTCTTCTGGCCACTTGAAAAATACTTTTTCATTTTACTATCACAGCACAAAACTCCAAAATATGCCAAGGAAACTTTTTGATAGTGGAATATTAGGAGGCATTTTCAGAAGAACGGAAAATAAATTCTGTGTAGAAAGAGTTTTGTAGATCATAGGGAAAGAACAGAATTGGAGCCAAGCTAATAATGCGCCTAATAGCTAGTTACAAATTAGGGATCTTTAGCTGAAAACAAGAGTAGGAAAAGACCTGGGTGACCTGCTTGACTACAGTATGTCTCGGCCACCTATACTAGGAACATAATAGAATATTTCACAGCCTAATCACATAACAAGCAAAATTGAGTGTGTTATGTACGGTTAGTACTTCATCTGGGGAATTGTATACAGCTGTGACCCTCTGGGGACAAGATAGACTCTTTCCAGCCCTCTTCTCTTCTGAACTGATCTGCCTGGATAATCAAGAAATTAAGAAGCCTGTTTACACAGAGCTGTCTTGATGTGTTTCCTTCTTTTCTTAACAGTAGAAAGGCTGCTAGCTTCTGTAGCTGCTATTAGTAAATGGAGGTTATACATCAAAACTGCTGAATCCTGGTAAAAATAAATAATTTGATGAAAGATGTGACAGCCTTTTTTCAAAGACAAGATCAGTTAAGTCCATGGCAGCTTTTACGATAATAGCATCTTACCAAGAAGGGAGTGATGGCAAAAGTTATCACATTAGTGGCTTTTTTTCACACAGTAGGCTTTGACTAACCAGCTGTGTTGTGTTTGGCTCATCTGGAGGATCTTTGCCGTAGCTGGTGCTCTTCAGCTTTCCTTCAAAGGGGGAACCATGGTAGCCATGTTGAAGATCGAGTGACTCTTGAGCCATGATTGTGGTTTTTCTGCTCTCTGACCAAGGTTCGAAGTTTTCAAGGCTTATTCATCAAAACTTTGCATTTCTTTCAGTCTGAAGTTGGAGTTCTTGTTTGGCTCATGTGTGCGTTGCACCTTGAGCTGCTTTTGCCAAGATTCTGAAACTAATGCGGAACATAACTGAGCAGTCTTCTCCAAAGTGATCTCCTTTGTGTCCTGCCTTAGGATCCTAATTTCCGAGTCTGGGAATTCAAGGATGAACTGTTTTAGCCAAGAATCTCTTTTTCTCTGAAGTTTATCAAGATTGGGATGGATTGCACATCACTGTTTTTCTCCAGTAGGTTTCACACTGCTTTTGTAAAATCAGGCGAAACTTGATGCAAATGTCTTCAGCCAGCCGTATGATCGTGGAAGTGTTGGTCTCACAGGTCAGGCATCAATTTGACATGCAAATGATGTCAATTTGCATTTATGAATAACCAGGAACTAACTATGGGACTGTTCAGAATCCCTCAGGTGTTTGTCACCTTTGGACTAACATGCATCTCATTCTTCTAACTGAAAGTACTGCTAAAGCCCTTCTTGACGCTGAACCTTTCCAGTGGCTTGTTACAAACTGCTGTGAACACATTTCTTATGTTTCTTATCTCGGGTCCGCTTCCCTTTTGCCTGTGACCTTCTGTCACCATTTGTTTCTTGCAGCATTTGTCATGGCCATTTCCTTTTAGTGTGGATTCTCTGCTCGAGTGACAGGAGTCTTTCAGCTTACGGTCCATTTCTTGCCATGCTTTTCAGGGATAATCTGAATTTGTGAGGTTCATGTCACATTGCAAGGTCTGTTGTTCTGGTTTTGCTGCTTTTCTTTTCTTGTCTCTCTTTTTTTTTTTTTTTTTTTTCTTTTTTCCAAAGTTCCGGGAAAAAAAAAACATTTTTAACAACAC